TCATAAAGTGCTTTCAATCGAAAAAAATTTATTGTTTCAGTTCATGCAGAGTTTTTTTTATCTTTGAATTTGAACATTGACAAAAGACGAGAAGAGTTAACAGAATCTAGGGAATAGTTTGAATGTATCAACAAAGTTGAAATGGTAGATTGGCCACCGTTACGATTATAAAAGCTGACGTTTCGGGCGTTAGCCCTTCGTCGGAGCGAATAGAGGAATTGTGGGTTGGGCAGGCTTTTAAAGGCAGAAAATGGAGCTACGTGATCGGTGGGAACATGGCAACGAGAAAAACACGAATAGATTGGTGGAATGAAAAGCGTTCGTTGATACCTGTGAGATTTAGACTGCCGGTTTGGAAGATGAGCTTTTGTTCAAGAATCAAGGGAACATATGCGACAACCGCCTTTTGCACATTAAGCACACTAAAGGGAAAACTGCGTGATATAACACCACTTGTTACTAGTCAATTTTATTTATCAAGTCAATAAACCCCGCAAGCTGTCTTGCTTGTATGCAAGCTTACTAAAATTACCCACCGGAAAAGTTTAAATGTACCGGAAAAATTTTAATGCGCCGGAAAATTTTTGATGCACCGTGAAAGTTTTAATACACGCAGGAAGTGGAGTTACAGATGGTAATGATGAGTTTCCAAGGAGCGAAATCATATCACGAGCTAAGGCGTTTCTTGAAATTTGTTTTGTGTTTTGTTCTTTTCTACGTGGGATCGAAATGCTACCGGGGATGACTGATTAAAATTATGGCCAAGGAGGTGGGCGTTTATTCGAGAAAATACGGTAAAGGGTACCTTACACAATTTGTTATAAAAAAATTCAATTTTAAAACTAGTTTTGTCCACAGGTTACCCAGCGTCCAGCTACGGCTGGTGCCGTGTTAAAGGTTCAATGATAGCTCTTGTGGAGAAACTAGCTGCTGAAGTATTTTTTTTGCATGCTGTGTGTGCTCATTACTCTGACGTAATCCTCAGCGAAATTGGATGTGATTGATGTGATTGATGTCTTTGAAAATTTTCTTTCTTTTCGCTTTCAGAAACCATTTTATGTCCGATGCATCAAACTAAACCATGTGAAGTCGGCATCGCTTTTTGACGAGAAACGAGTGGGTCATCAGGTTACTAAGCCATAAAATCAGAAATAGGAATAAGCCCCAACCTACTTGTTGTTTTTAACAATAGTCCCTTTTACAAGCATGCAACTGTAAAAAGGACTACTGGAAGACAGTTAATGTTTGGCTTGACGGTCAGTGCACCGGACTCCGGGTAGAGAGGTCTGAGCTTAAGACCTGGCCGGGTCGAGAGGTCTGGGTTTTAGACCTGGCCGGGTCATAGGGTCTGGGCTCTAGACCTAGCCGGGTCGAGAGGTCTGAGTTAGAGACCTGACCTAGTCAATGTGTTGTGTTCTTGATGATGATGATGATGACTTTATTTAAACCTGGATAAAAATGAGGCTTGTTAGGCCTCTAGCAATAGAGATGCGAATATACCGAGGGAAAATATATTAACGGTAAAACACGACGTTTCGACCGTGCTTCGGTCATTGTCAAGTGAATGGAATGAAATACAGTAAATATATGTATATATACACGTACGAATTTTAAAAAAGTTTTTGCAGATGTAAACAAACAATAAAACTACAAAGAAAGTGCTAGTAAAAAGCTAATTAAAAACCTTAGCACGAATTGAATCAGACTGTACATTGAGAGCAGGTCTTAGCTTGTGAATAAAAAACATCTCATAGACGAGACAGTCAAATTTGTTCGTGCACTTCATTAAGGTGCTAAAGTTCTTTGTAAGATCCTTTGGAGTCAAAGAATGTTTGTCGCGAAAATGTTTGCCAATTGACGAAGAGGAGTTTTTATGTTCTTCAATACGTTGGTGTAGATGACGGCGTGTGAAACCAACATAACCTGCATCGCACAGGTCACATTGAAATTTGTAAACAAGGCACTGTTGGTTCACAATCGGCGGCTTAGCTTCTCGCAATTTGAGGTCTCGACCAATCTTCTGGCTAACAAATACAGGTTGTAAGGTCGTCTGGATCCTATGACTTAGATCTTTAAGTTGGGCACGAACAATATCAGCGGATGCCTGATCTTTATACGGTAGGACAACGCGAATGGGGTCCGATCGATCGCTGACAGCAGGTAAGGAAACTGGTTGATCAGATACTTTGGCGGCAACAAACCGTGAAATGGTAGAATTGACTAGATTATCAGGATATTTCAAACGAGAAAATACTGATTTAAGTCGATCGCATTCTTCAGAGAAATAACGCCAATTAGATGAAAGTCGAAATGCACGATCAAGCATAGTTTTTAATAACCCACGTTTGTCACGATCATCTCCATGGCTCTTGTAATGTAGTAACGGCCCGTATTTGTAGGTTTGACGTACA